CCTGAGAGCCTAGTGACCTCACAAAGCTCCGTGGCTGCCTGGCCAATCAGCAGGGGTGACCTCCCACCCCACCCCCAGCAGTCGAGCCAGGTAAGAGCCCTTCACCTTAACTGGTTTGTGCCGAAGAGGCTTCCTGCCTTCCTGCATAGGCTCCCCCCGCACCAGGATGATGGCGGACTCCTGTGCAGCCTCATTCCCTCTGTCCCAAGGCCAGGGTCTCCATTCCCAGTTACTCTTGCGAGGTCCCCACATCACCCAAGGCTCTGGCTTTGTGCAGGTTCGGGGTCTGCCTCTCAGGTATGCTGTAACCACTGCAGACTTACAGACTGAGGAGCGGCTCAGACCTTCAGTGATGAGACAGTGCAGCATGTTTGTGGATCAGAGGAGTCGGGGTCAGCAGATTAATTGATCCTTCATTGCTGTTGGGGAAAATTTCTTTTCCTCTTCCAAGTGCATGCTATCAACACACTTTTCCAAGAGCCATTTTGAATTTCCCTAATTTACAACTGCAAAGCCCACCTTCTTGTCCATTGCTGAATATCATAAGGTCTCCTATCATCCTGAGTGTCTCCAGATTGCCTTTCTGTGACTGAGGTGGAGCAAGGTGTTTTGTTTTCTCCTATCCTTGAATGTCAAGAGTTTTCGTCACAGCTACCTGAATATCATGAAGCATCATTTTTCCCATCTGATTGTCAGGAACTAGCATCTCACCTACCAGAGTGTGACAAAAGCTTATTGCAAATGCCTGAATGTTAAAACCTTTTCCATCTCCTGCAAGTGTCAGGAGGTCATACTCCTACCTGCCTGAAGGCAGTTTTACCTCTTCCACCTGAATGTAAGATCTCAACCAGCCTGAGGGTCAATAGCTTCCACGTCACCTAAGTGGGTGTCAGAAGGTCCCACGTCTCCAACCTGAGTGTCAGGACATCTCATCTCCTCTTCCTGTGTTGAGTTTTCAGATTATCAGATGATCTCGATTTTTCCATTTTCTCTAACTGAATGTCATACTTACGACATCCTCAAATGAATGTTCAGTAGGTCTCATATATATCACCTAGTATCAGGGAGTGATCACCTCCTTCCTTGAAAGCAACAACTCTGTTTTTCCACTTCAATGCCAGAGGTCCGCATTGCCTCCACCTACAGGTTAAGAATTCTCATCTACACCACCCAAGTGTCACCTGAAAATCAAGAGGTCTTACATCTTCTAGCTGAATGTCCAGAGGTTGTATTTTACCTCTATGAATATTCTGAAGTCTTTACTGGCATACTGGAGTGCTGGGAGATCTCATTGCCCCCATCTGGGTGCCAGGGCATGTCCTACCCTCTACTTGAATATAGTCTCATATCCCTGTCTAAGTGGCATGGAACTTTCATCTCCTCTGCCAGAGTATCATGAGATCTCCTCTATTCTGGGTGTCCAAAGTTCTTGTCTCAACCTCTTGAGGTCTGCAGGTATTCTCACCTCTTCCTGGTTGTCCGGAGGTCTCATCTCCCTTACCTGAGAGTCATGAAACCTCCTGTCTCCTATATGCCCTATCTGGTCAAGACACTTTATTTCCTCCATCTGAGTGTCAGGAGATTTTTTTTACCTTTGTGTCAGGTAGCCTCACTGCCTCTAGCTGAAGGGCAGGAGGTCCTATGTGATGACTTGTATGTGAATAGGTTTCAGCTCCACTGCTGAGTGTTAGGAGGCCTCACTTATTTTAACTGAGCATCAAATTGTGTCTGATAAATAACCAGAAAAAGACTTTGGAAATACAATTCAAGAAATGGCAAGAAGAATTCAAGAAGTGGGCCCAAGTGCAAACAACGTTCATGCCTGTAATCCCAGCACTTTCAGAGGCTGAGGCAGGAAGATCACTTGAGCTCAGGAGTCCCAGACCAGCCTGGGCAACATGGCAAAACCCCGTCTCTATAAAAAATACAAAAATTAGCCAGGTGCGGTGGCGCATGTGTCCCAGCTACTCAGGAAGCTGAGGCAGGAGAATCATTTGAACCTGGGAGACAGAAGTTGCAGTGAGCCAAGATAGCACCATTGCACTCCAGCTTGGGCAATGGGGGTGAAACCCCGTCTAAAAAAAAAAAAAAAAAAATTAAAGTTTTGACTGTTAAAGAAAATATTATTCAGGTTTTTTAATGGATAGCACCTATTTCTTTATAAATATTTAGGAGGTATCAATAACAAAGTCTGAAGACCCAATGTCAATGTCTAAGACCATTATGGTTTGACTCTGCAAATCTTACCCACTTCTGATTCTAGAAGGGGCTGCCAGTCATTGTGCCTGCCCCTGGCTATAGTGATGGTTGCAGGAAAAGTACCTGGCCCAGCCCATTTAATTTTCTCATTTAATCTAATGGAAGCAACAGACATCTCAACTCAGAGTGACTTTGTTTGACCTTCTTCATGCTGTTCCAAGAGCAAAGGAGAGATGGGTGACAGGTCTGGGGCCAGAAGGTGGGGTCCCATCCGAGGGCATGGTTCAGGCTGAGGCAGAGTGCCCAGCCCAGGGGGCAGGATGGGGGCTTCCCCTCAAACTCCTCCCTGTTCTCTGCTTCCACCCCAACCCCCAGGGACCCCTCCAGCTCATCCCAGCCATTCTCGCTGCTCCTGCTCACCCCAACCACCCGTTGCCTTCGCCAGCCATACCCACTTCTGTCCCCATTCCTTATTTACCCGGGCAATCCAACTCCCACCCCAGTTTTTCTCACCCTGATCTCCAATCCCTTCCAGCCCCCAATCGCCTATTCTTCCGTTCCTGTCCCCACCGCCCTCTGTGAGGAGCAGAAACCTTATCCATCCGTCCTCAGTGTCCAGCCAGCCAGGAAGGTAAGAAGATCCCGGAGGGAGTCAGAACGGTTGAGGCAGTGAAACCTTGAGGGCCAAAAAGGGGTGGTTTTCGGGTCTTCACCCAGGGGAAGCAGGTGCCTCAGGGGTGGTTTAAGTGAGTACATGAGGGTCTGCATGGCGCCACGGAGAAGGACGAAGGCCCTTTGAGGCTATGGATGATGACAGCTTGAAAACCATCCTCAGGCTGGGCAAGGTGGCTCACGCCTGTAATCTCAGCACTTTGGAAGGCTGAGGAGGGTGGATCGATGGAAGCCAGGAATTCTAGACCAGCCTAGGCAGCAAAGTGAGGCCCCCACCTCTACCAAAAAAAAAAAAATAGCCAGGTGTGATCGCCCACGGCTGTGGTCCCAGCTACTTGGGAGGCAGAGGCAAGAGGATCGCTCGATTCCAGGAGGTTGAGGCTACAGTGAGCCATGATCTTGCCACTGTATTCCAGCCTGGGTGACAGGGTGAGACCTTGTCTTAAAACAAAACAAAAGCAGCCTCCATGTCCTGGCCTGGCCCCAAAGTTGTCCACAGGTCTTGGGAGTGGCTGGGGGCGGCCAGCCCACAGGAAGAACAGAGGCCACACAATTCCAAATTTTCAACATTTCCTAATCTTCATCTCATTTTTGGATTAGAAACTGAGGCCATCATAAGGAAAGGGCTGCACAGGAAGTCAAGGAGGGGGGCCATGCAAGGGTCTGAGTGTGGGAGCAGGGGGCCCCTGACTCGCTCTAGGCCTGAGTGTGCGGCATCAGGAGGGTGGGTCTCCCCAGCTTGCAGATGGAAACCTGGGTCTCCACAGGGGGACTCGGAGTCTGGGGCTAGTGGCACTTCTCCACGGTGCCACTGGCCCCACCCCTGGCTAGGGTTAACCTCAGAGCCAAGGTATGCGATTGTCATTCTATCATATTCACGTGCCACCTCAACCCAGTGTGTACAGGCTCTGAAACCACTGCCCCTCCTGTAAGCAACCCACCCCTCCAGGGAAGTCACATCTCTGCAGCCCCGGCCCTCTCTCAGAGCTGGGTCCTGTGCCCTCTACTTTCTCACGGCTCCCTCTTGATTGCCTTTGCCCACTTGCCTTACTGTTTACCCTTCAAGACGTAGCTCACCACCTCCTTCCACTCAGCAGGGGTCTCTGTCCCTCCTGTTGGCTGACCACCCCCACCAGGTGCCACCCAGGACATGTCTTTTTTACCTCATTATCGCCTGCTTACATGACTGCCTGTGCGCTCCTGAAGGATAATGTCTTGTCTCTGGTGCCTGGCTCAGGGTGGGAACAAAAAACAAACCTCACATCCAACTGGCCAGACAACCCAAGGTGAAAAGCACCAACTTGCTCTAATTTGAGATAGCACCAGGGCTGTGCAGATGCAGAGCCTGACCTCTAACTCCGACTCCAGGGAGGGCGGGTCAGAGAAGACGTCCTGGAAGACAGGATCCAGAGATCAGCCTCCAAGCTATGTATGCTCGATGCAGGCGAACGATGGGTGATCCAGGCAGAAGAAGGAGGGCGTGTGTGACATACAGCCCTGAAGCGTCATGGTGGCTCGGGGACTGCAGGAGGTGAGGGGAGACTGGCGAGCAGCATGTGTGCATTCAGAGGGAGCAGGGGATGCTGGCAGGATCACAGCAGCGCTGGCTGGGCCGGACTGGCTCATGGGGTCCATCCACCAGCTGCATTTACAGACAGGCTAGTGTTTGTGAGCAGAGGGCAGAAATGGAAACAGAAAAACCAATGAATCAGCAGGGAAGGAGTGAGGCCTAAATTTGGTCTGCAGCCGTGGGGTAGGACAGTTGCGAGAGATGTGAGGGGGTTCCAAGACAGGAGCAGCAGAATTTAAAAACAACTGGACACTGGAGGAAGCAAGTCTTAAACCCTGGCCTTAAAACCTGGCAGAGGTCATGGGGGACAAGCGGCCTCCACCTTGGGAGGTGCTACTCAGTGGGTTGGTGAACAGAGAAAAGCCTTCGGTGCAGGAGGCATGGGCTGGGTTCCAGCAGACTCGGAGAAGATGCTGGAAGATGCCGGGTGCTTAGGCATGGAGGTCAAAGATAGGGATCCGGGAGTCACCCGTGCATGTGGTCCAGGCTGAGGAGGTTTGTGTGGCCTGTATGAGGGACAGAGACAAATATCCTCTCAAGCAGGCAACTGAGACGTGGCTTCATTTCTTATAAATTTATTACATAATAATATTATAATAATTATTATCAATAATAATATAAGAAACATAGATCTCTGTGGGGTGTATCACAACGTCAGGGTCAGGAGGCCTCAGGACTGGAGCAGGGGGTGAAACCCCCCGGATGGAACTCCATACAAAAGGAGGTGAAGCGGAACTGACCCTGTAAAGTTAAAAACCCAAATTGAACGGAACCAAAACCCACAGGTGAGTGTGAGACCGAGTGTGTATGTGGCAGTCTGTTACAGTGACTGCTGCTGTGTGACCTGGACTGTTGGCGGAAGGGTGAGTGGGTGTGACTCTGCGCCCAGGGAGTGGGGCCGGTGGGCCAGGGCGGGGCGGGCAGGCACAGACCGGCGTGCCAGGCCCCTGGGTTGTGAAAACTTCTGTTTTCTGTCTTTTTTTTTATTTTATTAAAAAAAGCTAGAAATATAAACAGAAACTTGTGAGTGACGTGGATGGAGCTTAGTCCAGACTCCAAACCCTAGGTTTAAAAACGTCCCAGGGCCCCCACCCCACAGGTCATTGCTGAGTGTGAGGAGTCACAGTGTGGGGGGCTGGGCACCCTCGGGGGCCTTTGACTCTCCCCAGGGCCAGTGGTGGCCTGACTCTAGGGGTCCCCCTAGGATCCCCTCAGAAGCCCAAGGTGGGGGCGCTGCCTCCAAGGGGCCCTTGGGGCCTCCCCAAGCAGCAGGGATTCACCAGGGACCCCCGCTCAGGCTGGGTGAGGCTCTGGAAGGACAGGCTGGGCAAACAGCAGGACCCAGGGTGAAGGATGGCCTCGGACTTTCTTTGGAAGAGGAGACAGGGTGCTTTCCCAGGCACACCCCATGCATGCACACTGTGCACGCCTCCACAGCCCCACCTAGTCCAGAGCGGCCCCTGGGCCACTCAGTAATCAGGCACACACGTGGCTCCCACGTGCTCAGACGCACCCAGTTTCACCCACACACACAAAGGGCAGGACAGGAGACTTTGGGGTCCAAGGCAGGGAGGCTTCTCTGCTGTAGTTGCCCAAGAGCATGGGGACCCAACTGGCCCCCTCCTTGGGGAGAGACCCTGTGAGGAAGATGGCTGCGGTGGAGCGGCAGGGCCCTGCCCTCACCCCCCCGGCCGATGGTCTCCCAGGCCGGCTGGTCCCGCGGGTGCACAGCAGGACCCGCGGCCTGCCGCCCCTCCCCCCACGAGCAGCACCTGAAAGGTCGGTGGGGCACACTAGAGCTCAGCGAGGGGAGGGGCCGAGCCGGGGCCCCAGGGCGGACCACTAGGGCCCTGGCCAACCCCAGACCAGCTGGAGCGTCCCCTGCCCCGTTGTGGGGTGGCAGTGGCAGTGAGGGGCCGGAGATGGAAGACTGGGCAGCTGCAGTGGGACCAGTGGAAGTAGAAGGGAGGGGAGAGGAAACTATTACGGACAGAGATATTTGTTCCTTTTCTCGTTCCAAATATAGAGTGGATTAAAATATGCAAAACAGGGGGGGCTCCTTGGCCCCCATCGAGAATCCCAATGTCTCCCCCCTCCCCCCGAGTCACCAAGGCGGGTCCTGACCTCGCATGCTGGACTAGGTTCCCCCTCTGGGAGAATGGCCACCAGGAGCTGTGAAGGCGGTGGTCAGGCTAGAGCATCCCACCCCCGGCCCCTCCCGCCCCAGCCTCCCTGGTCCACGCCCTTCCTGACTGTGTGCTGGGTGGGCTGGGCGGCCGGTGAGAGCACTAAGCAATGTACAGGGCGAGTCTCCGAGCAACAGCAAACAGGACGATTCATGCAACATTCCTGGCCCGGGCGCCGTCGTTAGGGGCAGGCCGAGCCCGCGGCCCGGGGTGGGGGGGGGGGGCCCTGCCGGCAGGGCACGGCCGGGGCGGGAGCGGGGGTGGGGCGTCAGCTGCCGTCCAGCTGCCTGAGCGCGCGCTCGATGTTCATGCGGTGGCCCACGCGCGTGACGCCCAGCTCCACGAAGTCGTCCTTGGTAAGCGCGGGCAGGTGCGCGCCTTCTATCTCATGGTCCTCGAAGCGGTCGCGGTGCTCGCCCAGGTGGATGCTCTCCAGCCAGTCGCCCACGTCGAACTTGCTCCAGAGCTGCAGCGGCTTCTGCTGGAAGGGTCGGCGTGGGCCGGGGGCGCCGGGGCCAGGGCCGGACGCGGGCGAGGGCAGCGGCGACGGCGAGGGGGAGCGGCTGCGCGCGCTCACGCTGCGCACCACGAAGCGCACCTCCTTGGGCTCGTGCGGGATGGAGAGGCTGGACGACTTGAGGATGGTGGGGGGCGTGAGGCCGAAGGGCCGCCCTGCGCCCCCCGCGCCCGCCCCCAGCCCCTCCACCCGCTCCAGCGACGCGGGCTTCACCGGGCTCGGGGCGCGTCGCGCCACGGGGTAGCGGCCGCTGGGCCTCACCGAGTAGGAGGCCCCGCCGCCCGGGCCCCCGGGGCTGCGCTGCGCTGAAATGGAGCTCAGCTCACCGAGGCTGCTGAAGAGCCTGCGGAGGGAGAGGGGTCAGCGCCAGGTGAGGGGCGCACAGCCAAGCGGGGACGGGCGGAAGGGAGCGGGCAGGGTCCAGGAGGAAAGGGGCTGGGGCTGGGGCTGGGGCTGGCGGGAGTAGCCCGGCCAGAGGAAGAAATAAGGGTGGGATCCTATGGTTACCCTGGCCCTTTCGTTTGGCCCCTGGGACCAGAGCCAGTGACTGGCTGGAATATGAGGAATGACTGGTGGCCCCCTCCACTCCATCCAGGCTCCAAGTGCAGCCCAACCAAAGAAAAGACAGCCTCTCATGGCAAAGGGCTGGCTTCTCCCTCCTGCCAGCCTCCGACACCGGCTCTGGGCACGGCGGGATCCACAGATGCCCTGGACGGTAAGACTTGGGCAGTACCCTTCACCGCCCACCCCCCACACAGCTCTGCTCTCATGAGAAGACCCAGGGGACCCTGGGCTAGTTCCAGGGACAGCTGAGTCGTGATAAAGGCTGGCAGCGGCACGAGGTTGAACAGGTCCGTGACACAGGAGACACACCAGGCAGGGTTTGCACCCGGATGGAGCAGCAGCACATGCAGGGCAGGTGTGAGGCCGTGCACACCCACAACACAAAGGCAGCCTCCTGCACAGACAGCACACAACAGCAGCCACGGTGCCCACACGCGTTACAGACATGCCGCAGTGGCAGCAGCACACACACGCAGACACGCAACACGCACACATGCAGGCACGCACACACGCAAGAACCGATGGCAGCTCACTTCCCAGCCTCACCTGACGACCCTAGAGCTCTAGCCCCTCCTCGGCTCTGCCGTGGTGGGAGGCCTACCTGAGGTGATAGCTCCACAGAAAACCCACTCCCATGTCCTCCCATTCCCATCCCTATCCCCACTGGGTCAGGGGAAGCCTCAAGGGGCTGTCAGTGGCACCAGAGCCTCTCACAGCCACGCAGAGCAGAGACCCAGCAGACAGGCACAGCGTGTGGACGGCAAGAGGCATGGGATGAGCATGCTCACTTACACAGCCGGCGCTCGGGACCACGGCGCAGCTCGACAGAGCAGCCACATGCAGATGGGCAGGAGAGAGCAATGAGAGAGAGAGTTAGCCGGCCAGGCCCACGCGACCCACAGCTGCAACCACACAACGGGCAGCCAGGTGTGGAGGGAGGCACTCAGGTGCAGAGGGCCCAGCTGCTGTGGGAGGGACAAAGTTGGAGCTGCTGGTGGAGGAGAGGCGCCTGTGCAAGTCTCCAAGTGTAGGTGAACCACAAGCGTGGCTGCAGTGCTCGGCAGGTGCCTGGCGCCTGGGGGTGCTGAGCCCCTGACATCCTCTTTGGCCGGGCCTCTCTCCAGTGGCCCTCCCACCCCCTCCCTGCCCCTGCCCAGGCTGAGTCCCCCCACCCCAACCTCTGTGCTGTCCTCACCACACAGCATCACCAGTGCCTGCCCCACACAGGCATGGGGCTCCCCTTAAAGCAGGTTTCGTCTTTTGTCTCCCACCTGTGGGAGGTCAGCCCTCTGTGGAGATCTGAGCTCTGTCTCTCCCACGGGACCTCATTTCTGTCCTCTCCTCAGCCTCTGTCCCTATTGCCTCCTCCCAGCTGCTCAGATCCAGAGCAGAGCTTCCTGAAGAGGCCATACTGTGCCCCCCAAAAGAAAGGGGCTTCAAGAACACCTGAGGTGGGCCTTATCACAGGCACCAACCACCAGAATAAGCTGCCTTTGCTCCCACTGGATCTGGCCTCCATGGATCCACCTGCACAGTGGGGCAAAGTGGGGAAGCAGCCAGGGTTGGGGGGGATTCCCGAGGGGAGGTGCCGGGTGGTGTTAGGTCAGGGGGGTCCCCTGGGGGTGTGTGCCCAGGTGGTGGTGACTGCTGGAGGGGTTTGCCAGGGGATACTCCAAGAGAATCACTCTGAGGGACCTGACTTGGGACACCCAGAGAGGAACAGGACCAGGAATATGCACCTGGTCTCTACCCACCAAACCCGACACAGTGGCCCTGGCCTGGGGACCTGCATCACAGGATGGACACCTACCCTGGCCCTGCCCCTGCCCCTGCCCCAAGGCTTAGCTTTCAATGGAGTTGTGATGGCAAGTGTACCTGGAGTCTCAGGTGTGACTGAAGCACACTGATGAGTTGCAGGACCACAGAAGTGAAGGCAGAGCCACAGGGCAGGCATGGGCAGCACAGCCGGGAGGCTCGGCTGGAGCCCAGAGCAGGGTCTGGGCTCCAGGAGGTCCAAGCTGGGCAGAGCAGAGTTGTGCCTGTCTGGGTAGTACTGGCAGGGGCTGAGCTGGAGACCTGGGCAGAGGGCAGGCTGGCTCCAGAGGCACCCAGGCAGCCAGAGGGCAAGAGACGTGAGGAGAGCCAGTCACATTGCTCCCGCCTCCCAGAGCATGCTGGAGATGTCAGGAGGCCAAGAGGAAACGCCCAAGGAAGGCTGTGCCCTCAAAGGCCCCAGGGCACAGGAGGGAGGGGCCTGGGGTCACCCATGGCCCGGGTGTCTGCTTCTCTTTCTCTTGGGGAACAGGGTACTGCCCACACCATCCCCAGGGCACAAACCCGAGCAGTGTCCATGTCTGACTTCCATGTTCCCATGGCCTCCCTGCACACCCACTGTCACTCTCAGCCATCTCGCCACCTCCCTGGCCAGGCTCCGGCCGCCGAACAGCCACACCACAGCACCTGCCAGCCTCCCAAAGAGCTTCTGGGCCACCTCCCTTCTAACATAACACATGATACCTCGCCAGGCACCATCACCCACGAACACCTCCAGCGGCCGCCCTGAAGAGGCTGAGTCCAGACCACGCTGAGGCCCCCACGGCCCCACGTCTTTCCACCTACATTTGAATCCTGCGCTGTCTGTTTCCCAGCGACTCTCAGCCAGTGAGAGAGGTCTGGCCTTGCCACACCCTCCCCACTCCGACCTCTGCCCCGCAGTTGCCCAGGCCGTCAGCAAGACCCCGCTGCTGACCCGTTCGTCTGTTTCCCTTCGAGACATTCTTTCCTAGGCCTCTTCCTTCCTAGATGGATTTTTGGAGCTCCCCTCTTCTTAGTTTGCAATTTCTCCTGGGCAACATTATCCACTCACACCGTTTGCTATGGCCGATGTGCCCAGGAATGCTACATGTAAGACCCAGACAGTCTCTGATGAGTTCAACACCTCTACTGGGGTATCCACACATGTCCCTCCATCCCTAACTCAGTGAATGGCACCCTGTCATTGCCACACACAGAGCCTGGGAGCCACCATCAGCTCCTCTTTTTACCCTACAACCAATGACCAACTCCTAATATCAACCCAGACCTCCTCTTTCCCCCTAGCCATTTCTGGATCCAGACCGTTCATGGTCTCAGGCCCTTCACTCCACTTCTTACCAGTTCTCCTTGCCTCCTGGTACCCAGCGCAAAGCCAGAAATACCAGATGCACTAACAAAATGCAACAATAGTACGACACGTCCCTGCCAGGCGTGCCCAACTCGGTCAGCCCACTGGGACCAACAGGCGGGAAAATGTCCACACTCTGGCCCTGGTTACTGCCCCGGGCCTTCTGCCACTGCACTCACATGGGGTAGGTCTAGGCCTGTGGCCTTTTGCAAACTAGGGGCCTCATTAAGGGAACTAATTCTCAGAGGAGCACAAAACCAGACATGGGCTCTCAAGCTTCCGGTGCATCCTCTGCGGTAACACGTCTTGCTCCTCACACCCCGCCTGTTTCCAGCTCCAGCTCTGATGGGCCCCAGTGTCCTATGACCCCTCCTCTGTACCTCCTTCCTACTCCCTGAACAGGCTTCAGGGACCCTGGGAACACACCTGCCCCAGCTGCATGTGGCCTGCAGGGTCCCCACTGGCAGGCACGTGACACATTCAGTCTGGGTTTCAATAGAGCAGGCCCTGCTGGCCTTGGCCCTGCTTACCAGTGTGATCCGCCAAGCACACAGTGCTTTGTTCACATCCCTGACAAATACATTAGCAGGCAGGGTCTGCAGCAGGCCACTAGGACAGGGTTTCTTGACCATTTTGAGGAACACGGGTCTTCTGTGAGATCTAGGAACTGACTCTAACAGGTCTGGAGACCACAGCACACAGTGCCCTCCTCCACATGAGCTTGTCAAAGGCACCAGAAGTACTGCAGCAAATAACCTCTTTTTGTGTTTCCAAAGCTATTTTGCCATGAACTTTACCTACAAAACCAGATGTGAGAGTCCCACGTAAAGCTAAGTACCAAGGCAGAAGTGAGCCTCGCTATGGACCTCAGACCCCACATGGGATTCAGATCCGAGCATGGGGCCTGGAAGACAAATGGAGTTTAGAGCCAGGTGTGGAGCCAGGGTCTCAGAGACAAGTGTGAGCCTCAGACAGCTGGGGCGCCTGTGGCCAGCTGTGGGGCTCCGAGTCAGGTCTGAGCCATGCCCCAGTGCAGCCTCAGAGTCAGGTGTGGGGCCCAGAGACCGAGGAGGGGCTCTGGGCAGGTGAATGGTCTGTCCAGCAGGGCTAGACTTGGAACTGGGAGCACAGAGCAGGTGGAAAATCTGGGATCAAGGATTCAAAAGGCCAAAGGTCTTGGACCTTCCAGAGGCAGCATGAGAGTGCCACATTCTCCAGCTTCCCCTGAAAATCAAAGGTGGCCCCAGATGATGATGATCATTTCTCCACAGGTTACCGAGCTTTGGTTCCATGACATACAGGACAGCTTAACTTGCCCAGAAAGCTCTCAGGCCACAGAACAGCTTGTGGCTAAAGCACATCAGGAATGAGTCATCTGTGGAGAAGGTGGGTAGGCATTCCCTTCCTCATGGTGTCGGTCAGGGAGGAGAAGGATGGGCCTGGCAGACAAACACAAGGGGCTGGAGACATGGCTCAGGATATGGCCCTGAGGGTGACCTAGCGCCTCTGCCGGGACTGGCCCTGGGAAGGAAGCGGTCATACCTGGATGTCAGAACCTCCCACACTTTAGACAGTTCCACCAGCAGTTTTATCCCTAAGTGAGGAGTGAGTACCAGACTCCGGCCACTACGGGCTGCAGGACAAGAGCTGACAACAGCCGTGGTGGGCAGACAAAGGACCAGATCTGAAACAGGACTGGACTCAGACATCACCAAGTGTCCTGTGCGCCGGCCTGCTGCCTGCAGCCAGAAGCACCAGAAGTTAAGGGCCCAGGACGGGCAGTGGGGCCCCCTCCAGATGGCTGCAGTTGAGCCCAGGTCTGAAGGCAAGAAGGAGCACAAGAGTGTGAAAGGAAGAGTGAGCTGGAGCAGATGGTAACACAGGCAGGCAAACTGAGAAGGAAAAGCAGGCCTGGGTGGGCCACTGAGGTGGCACCGGGTGCTGCTTATGACACACATGACCAGTAAACAGAGGGGTGAGTCTGATGCACACACCTGCCACTTCTGTGGAGGGAAAGCCCCTTGTGTGTCATCAGAAGGGATTTAACAACAGCAGCCCTCGATTACGGCAGCCAGAGAGCAGGGCTCATGGTCAGGCAGACCACCGTTCTGTCTGCAAGGAAACTCTGTGGTACGTCAGTTTCACTGTCTGGAACATGGAGATTCTGTTAGGGTCCGTCTAATGGAATGGTATGAAGACAAACTGATACGGCAGGACCGTCTCCAATGCTGCATCCAATAGGCTTGTTTTCCCACAAAGGACTCTAAGACCTAGCCTAGGTGTCTGAGTGCCTGGGTGTCAGTGACAGCAGAGACAATGGCAGCTCACACCAGCGAGGGTCCACAGGCCCCAGCCCTGGGCCTGCTGGGTGCTTCACAGGTGATGCTGTGTGCAGCCTCGCGACAGCCTGTGCAGTCGGCTCGCTGTAAATACACTTCACAGGGGAGAGATGGACGTTCACAGAGCTTCAGTGGCTGATCTAGGACTACAGCACTAAGCTGTGACCTGCTGAGCACTGACATCATGGCCCTCTGATGGCTCCAAGCCAATGACCAGCAAGGAAGTGAGTTGCTGACGCCGGTGGGGGCCGGGTCACAGGAGCATTGGTTGTTACAGGCTGTCCAGCATCCGGTTACTCCAGGGACAGCACTGGACGTCCATCCGGAGAGCCCCCTCCCTCACGCTCAGCACCTGCTTGCTAGGTGGGCGGACCCATCCCCCTGGCTGCTGGGAGAACAGAGGACTCAAGCCCGGCCGATGACAGCCCTATGTCCCCAGACCCCAGTGATCAGTCGGGGAAAAGCAGAGGACCCACATGAACTCTATCAGAGATCAGAATTTTGCAGGAACTACTGAGTAAAAGAACAGACATCACGTAAGGGTCAGGGCTGCTGGTGTGTCCTTCCCATCCCACATCTGAGAAAGAAAAACTAACAGGGTCCTGGTGAAAGCCAGGGCCAAGGGATAAGAGAACCTTGCCCCGACCAAGACAGAACGCTAAAGAGCCCTGTGGGAGGATGAACTCAGAGAAGGGGAAGTGCCAGAGGTTCTGGCTGAGGAATCCCCTGACCCTGCCCTGCAGCTGCCTCACAGGAGAGGACAGGGCCAGTGATGAGACCTGGGCCCACCTGAGCCCAACCACGGGGGATCAACACCTGATGAGTCTGAACGCTGAGTCGGTCCTCCTGTGGGTCCTAAGCCACCTCCCTAGATCTCAAATCACAAAAGACAGCATTTGCATTTTGCTTTGTTCTTTCATCCATTTAACAAATGTTTATTGAAGGCCTGAACCAGGCCAGGCACTGTGCTATGCACTTTTTAAAATAGCTTTGATTTTCATCAAGACCAAGAGGCAGAGAGGAGCAGAGGGAGAAGCAGACAGGGAAGACGGGGGGCTGGTCAGGTGTGGGTCAGGAGACCCCAGCCTCAGGGGTCTGGTCCTGCACAGAGGCCCAGGACCAGGCTGCTCACTCCGATTATAACACCCGTTCTACGGGCACCTGCAACACTGCAATGCTGGGAAGAAGGCTTTCTAGTCTGGCTGGGAGTTAGAAGAGGCTAAAAGGAGAGAGGACCCCAGAGCAATTCCCCAGGATGACAGGAGCTGGAGGCAGCATCCTGGGACCTTAGGAGAGGCCTCATGAGCTTCCCAAGCTCCCACTTGTCTTTTGAATCCTGAACTAAAGAAGGCAGAATGGCCAGGCCTTTGTAAGACCTGTAGAGTCCTTAAGTTCTGAACACGTTGCTATGCTGTGAACTCTGTCCTCCAAGGCTGACAGTACAGGGCCCACTAGGTTGGTCTTCCGGGAGGCAAGAAGGAGGAGTCAAGAGGTGGCATCCACATACCCCACCCCCAGACCCAAAGAGGGGAGGGGAGACCTAGGGGCACAGAAGGCAAAAGCAGCTTTAAAAAGGCAGACAAGGGGGCGGGTGGGGGATGACCAGCTCTGCCAGCAGCATCCATGCAGCCCAGGGGCCTGAAGGATCCTCTTTGGAAGGAGCCTCGGGAGTCGGGTCCTCAAGGAAAGACCTATGGGATCAGCCCAGGGCTCTGGCAGCTGTGACAGCCTCAGCAGCAAGCCAGGCCCTGCTCAGATCCTTCTGGGTAGGGGCAGGACAGACAGGGAAGTGATGAGGAGAAGGCAAGAGGGCAGATGGAGTGCAGGGAGATGGCGTGACTTCCATCTATCTTCTTACTGCACTTTAGAAATGACACACGGGAATCCATGTTTAAGGGATTCTAAGGTGGTGCCAAGAGACAAATGTTTCTAGGATGGGAAACAGAAAGTTAGTGGCAGATCCCCCAAAAGAAAAGGAGTCCGTGTGCTCCAAGCCGCCAAAGGAAGCAAGGCAGGAGGCAGCTCTAAGGCAGAGGGTATCAGCCACACTGGGCAGCCACACGGCCACAGAGGATGGGAGGAGGGAGGCGCACCTCCAAAGTAAAACACAAAACAACCCTTAATGGCAAAGACAGCCTGCGCCAGGAGCCAGAGAGAGAACCCACAGGAATCCCTGGGGCCATCCAGGAGGGCCATGGAGACTCATGCCCAACCTGAGTCTCTGGGGGAAGCCCAGCTCCCATTTCTGGCACCAACAGGGACACAGTGAGCACCAACCCTGATGTGTCAGACGCCCAGAAGAACCTCCCCTCTCAGGCAGGCCAAGCAAGACCGGATTCAGGTGGATGGCGGGGGTGGATTGGGGGTTGCCACAGAAGGAATGGAACAGAACAAGGAGGAACAGGAGAGCCAGAGAACAGACAAGAGGAAGGACAGAGGGGGCCACGGACAAGGCACGGATCCCTCCCCACACCGCCCTGCTCACCGAGCTGCTGCGATGGGCGACTTCTTGGCAGGGTCCAGCAGGCTGCCCAGGCCACCAACCGGTTCCTCCCCCAGGGAACGCGTGTCTTTGTTCAGCTGCTGCAGGCGGGAGCTGAGCTCACTGATCACAGTTGGTTTGTCGTCTTCAGGCCCAGGGAGCCCCCGGCTCTCCACGGGGTCCCCCCATAGCTTGGACCTTCTCTGGAAGAGGTAGCGAGGACGGGCAGGCCCGGCGGCAGAGGCCAGCCCGGCAGAGGCGGCATGGTGCTGCTGGGCCATGAGCTCGCTGTCCGAGGACTGCTTCAGCAGCGGGTCCCTGAAGGTCACCGGCCCCTTCCCCAGCGGGGACTTGAGCTTAGGCTTGGGAGGCACTGGTGGCTTCTCGAGTAGAAAAGTGTGTCCGTCAGCGAAGGAGGTGTGGGTGTCGGTGAGTTCCCCGCTCTCCGAGCTCAGGGTGGACATGCTGGACACCGTGGAGATGGTGCTTGTGGTCTCCAGGTGGGGGTCACTAGAGCTGCGTGTGTCAGCCTCCTCCACCCCAGAGTCAGCTGCAGACTCAGGGGCAGGGGGTGGCTCACTGCTGGGCTTCCCTGAGGCCGGGCTGGGCACCGTGGTGGGCGAGGGGCCCGGGCCAGCGAGTGGGGTGGCCAGCAGGACCCCGTTGGCAAACTCTTCAGGGGGTGGCACCAACCCAATCCGAGCCAGCTCCTCCCGGGTCTCCTCGTCGCTGGACGACAGCTGGGC